TTTAATGGCTTTTGTACAGTATAATCTGCCAGTTTATGTATGCACTGTATAGTTTATATGAATAGTAGTGTGATAGATGTAATGTATCATAGGCTTTAGCAAAATATTAAAATAGAGACTAAAATACTTCTATGTAACTAACTCAGAGAATGGGGTAAACCAATTATTTTGTTTCTTACACCTTGTTTTGGACTTCCCACATGATAACAGTGACAGAAATCAAAGCACCAGCGTCCAGGAAGGATTCATCCACTCCTCGATATCAGGGAGTGTGAAACAACAGGACAGAACTAGAGGAAGAAACAAAATATATTGACCCAATTTACAGAATGTCCTGCAGACAAGTCAAAGGTTAAAACCAAACAAGAGAGTTTCTGGAACAGCAAAAACTCAAAGCAATGTTTGAATAATGTATAAATCATGAATATGCATGTACCCCCAGCAATGCAGCAGTATATAGAGAACGATGTTTAAATTGACCCTTCGCCAAAAGCTCCCCAGAGCTGGATATTTGTCCCTTGTTTTATCCCTTATTAAACTTAAAATTCTAAAACGTGAGATTTGCTTTTCACAGTTACTAAAAGTAATTTATTTCCATTATTGATGTTAACAGAAAAACGACGAATTATTACAAGTTGGGTTTTTTTCTTCTTCCTTACTTTTCCCACATATTCTGGGTCTGTTTTTTTCAGTAAAATTTTTCTCCCATCTGCTACCTGGAAGCAGGCCTGAGACAAATGGGGCAGCTAGGAAACAAAAGATATAGCTGGGTGTGACATTCCATTGAAATAGTCCTGGCTGGGGGTGGATTGAGGGTGACACCGAGAGAAAAAAAGGTGCTGGCTTTTGATTGACCCTCTTTGTATGTACATGTGTTTGTATATATATGTGTGTGTGTGTCTATATTTATCTATCTATTTATATATATATCTGTATGTTGGGGGGCATGGGGGTGGGTGTGTTTATGTAGATATATGTATTTGTCTATATATTTACACACACACATATATTTATGTATGTATATATATATATGTATATACATAAAGAACTGTTATTCTGTTTCCCATCTTTGCCTAAAACCCCGTATTTCCAAAGTTATAATAATTTGGAGAGAAGGGGGACATATTCCCCATTCCAGGAAGGTTCCCACCTTCCTTGGCAGAGACCTTTCTTTTAAAGCAACACAAAACACTCGTTTGAAATCTGTAACTCCCAGGGGTTCCCTCCAAAGGTGCCACTACAGTCAATGTTAGCAGATTAGGAGCTTGCTTGTCCTTCAGCAGTATGTCAGCTTTGTATGCAGCAGCAAGGAGTGGAGAAAACTAAAGTGGTCAGTGGCTACTACTGGGCAATGCTATTTGATGGCTTCAGCGTAGCTGCACAGTGCATAAACAACAGAACTCTGCTCTTAGGGATTGCTGTCACCCTGACCCTGCTTTAATCTTAAACATGAATTGAAACCACAAACATTTTCTGAAGCAGTAGGAATTCAGCTCTTCTTCGGACTGCATCTATAAAGCTTTCATTTTCAGAGGAGTATGGATCACGTAGGCTGTGATCCATATGAACAGAGTACAGAATCCCAGAATCACTAAAGTTGTTAAAAGCCTCCAAAATCCAATCTTTGACCAAACACTGTGTTGTCAACTGTTATGGGTATGATGGTAATTCGTGCTGATAGAATATGGATATAAGAATAAAATATGAAACTTTGAAATCACACCAGCAAGGGAGAAGGGGGATTGCTTCACAGGGTGGCGAAACCACAGCTGGCAGCTGAGGAGGAGGTGTGTCATTAACACACAAAGTGAACCTAGCCTGCACAGGAGATGGGTGTTCTTGCTGGTATGATGAGCCATGAAGATGTTCATCTCAGACAGACAGGACCATCAAGGACACACATCTGAATGTGGGATTCTGGGAACCAGGGAGCAGATACACATCAGTTCCCAGACAAGGTTTTGGCCAGGCAGGACAAAGAATAGACAGCATTAATATGAAGAACTCCAAGGAAGGACAAAGGGACTGCACCACAGGCAAGAAGAAGAGTATAAAACCTTTCACAGGGTGGCGAAACCACAGCTGGCAGCTGAGGAGGAGGTGTGTCATTAACACACAAAGTGAACCTAGCCTGCACAGGAGATGGGTGTTCTTGCTGGTATGATGAGCCATGAAGATGTTCATCTCAGACAGACAGGACCATCAAGGACACACATCTGAATGTGGGATTCTGGGAACCAGGGAGCAGATACACATCAGTTCCCAGACAAGGTTTTGGCCAGGCAGGACAAAGAATAGACAGCATTAATATGAAGAACTCCAAGGAAGGACAAAGGGACTGCACCACAGGCAAGAAGAAGAGTATAAAACCTGGACTCTGGCAGCGGCATGCCCCTTCCCAGCTCCCTCAGCTGCTCCTCACAGCACTTTCTCTCTAGACCCTTCCCCAGTTCTGCTGCCCTGCTCTGCTCAGGCTCCACACCAAAAAGTCTCTCTTGCAGCGAAGGGCCCAGAGCTGTGGCCTCACCAGTGCCCAGCACAGAGGGACAAGCATTGCCCTGGTCCAGCTGCACTACTTTTGATACAAGCCAGGTGCCACTGGCCACCTGGGCACTGCTGGGCTCAGGCTCAGCCGCTGTGGATCAGCATTCCGGCCACTCTTCCCCCAGCCTGTGGCACTGCACGGGTTGGTGACACAAACACAGCAGCTGGCACTGCACCTGAGCCTCAGCCCATCTCTGCAGCCTGTCCAGGTCCCTCTGCAGAGCCTTTCTGCCCACCCTGCTTGGTGCTGCCTTCCGGCTGACTGAGGGTGTGCTGGATCCTCTCACCAAAATAAAGGATGCTTGGAGCAGGATGCTCTGCCCTGGAATGTGGTCAAGCAACTCAGACAATGCCTATTTACAAAGCTATCACTGGTGGGTTGAAAGGGGCTCATGTGCTGCTTTTGCTGTTGAATTAACCTAAAAACCAGCATTACACATCAGTCCCAAATGAATATCCTGTCTGGATATTAATTAGCAGACAAGCTGCTAGGCTACCTGGACACGTATGACTGGCAATCAATCCCTTTACACTATAAAAGTTCAGTCCCACTTCCAAATGGCAGGTTCTTCTAACATACCCCTTATTTGAGCATGTACAGAGATTCCTCCTTTGGATGGAGACACCCCTCAAAATTACTCCTCAAGACTGAGTGAACAGGATTTGCCCCAAGCCTGGGTGAGTTACATCAATCTCTACTTAATAATTTGGTTTTTTGCTAGCTTTGATACAAAGCTTTTTTTTTTTTTTTTGCTTTACTGTGACTGCTTTGATAAAGTGCACTATCCTAGCCTATCCTATCCTGTCCTGTCCTATCCTATACTAGTAGTTTTAGCTTCTATACTATGCAGTAATTAATTCTGATATTAGATCCTTTGTCTAATAATTTATCAAAAGAAATAATTATTTTATATAAATATATCTAATTTGCCATCCTTAATTCTGCAGGACAATGTTGTACAGATGTTCAATCACACCTCTGTGATTCCTTAGACTTAAGTTTGTATGTATATGTGTATATAGATACATACAACTTGAGTTAATGACAGTTTGGGACTAAGATTGGATCCAGTTGTCCCCAGGTCCCTCTCTGGGGAGTTTAGAAAGCCCAGGGTCCTTTCTGCACCTACTGGGAGCTTCTCTAATAAACTTTTTCTGCAGTTTCCACTCCACCCATGATGATATTAAACAGGACTGGCCCCAACAGTGAGCCTTAGAGAGCCTCACTGATTACCAGCTGCCCACTGGATTTAACTCCATTCACCACCTTGGCCCAGCCTCCATCCAGTTTTTATCCAAGGGAAGATGTCCAAGCCATGAGCTGCCAGCTTCTCCAGCAGAATGTTCTGAGGGACAGTATCAAAAGCCTTGCTGAAGTCTTGGTAGTGGGTATCACATCCACAACCTTTCCCTCACCTAACAGGTGGCTCTCTAGTCATAAAAGGAGATCAGGTTTGTCAAGCAGGACCTGTCTTCCTTAAATCCATGCTGGCAGGGCCTGATCCCATGCTTGTCCTGTATGTGCCACGGGATGGTAATAAGATTTATGACAGTGTCATAATCATTAAATGGTCTTAGGACTAAAACCCTCAGCTTCCAGAACGCTGAGTTGTTTACAACAGGACACACTTAGAAGATATGAACATCATCTAGACTGAAAAAAATGAGGGCAGGAAAAAATGAGAGCTATAAAAAATGCTATAAAAATGCGAGCAGAAAGATGCATGTGAAATCAGTCAAGGGCTGTAATATTAAGATAGTATCTGATCTCCTGTGATCTTAGCACCTTTGCTAATCATTTTTTTGATTGCAAGAGATGTTGTGGTTATACTCAGATTAAAAAGCACTCACCGTGTTACACTTGCACTGATCCAATGCCAGCTGTACTCAGTAAAACCCTTCTGCCATCTCCTGCAAAAGGCTGTTCAGCTGATTGTACTGAGGTGACAGTTCCACCCACCTGCCTTCAGCTGAGAAAGAAATAATGGGAGCAAATAATGTGAAAGAGCAAACAATATAGTGTACTTTACCAAATTCTTATAAAGAAATCTAAATGTATTATCTCACACAGTATTAGATACAGCTGCAGCTGAACCCTAATTAACTGCTTGGATCTGGTTATCTTTCCTCCACAAAGTGAAAGGTGACTTACAGAATCACAGAATATCCTGAGCTGGAAGGAACCCACAAGGATCACTGAGCTCAGTTCCTGGCCCTGCACCAACACCCTTTGAGTTCCTCCTTCTAGACAGTGAGACACTGAATTTTGGTTTGATGAGGCAGTGGTATTGTCTGCTAGGCAATTTAGCTCCTAAAATTATCAACTTTGTTTTAGCAGGACTTTTCTGTTGGTTTTTGTTTTTCCTTTATGCTTAAATGTTGCATGTTTTAATAAAAAAGTATTTTCTTTTTTTCAAAATAATATTTATTTATGTAATGCTAGTATTTTGATTTTTTTCTAGTCCTAAAATCAATAGTCAGCAATAAGCATTATATTGTGTACTGTCTGTACACAGAAATATACTAAAACCAGTTACAAAACTTAATGCAAGATGAAAAACATACAGAGCGTAAGATTTATGTTTCATCTGAAAGAGATTTACAGGAAAACCAATTATTTCAGCTGATAATAAAAGAGAGAATCAACTTGGAAGGAACTGGAGGGAAGCACCTGTCTAATCATCAATTCTACTTGTACAACACTTGGCACATTTGCAAATGGGCAAATTGTTTCAAATTTACTTTTGCTGATCTGAAACAATTCCAGTATTTTACTCTCCAAGTATGTCAAATGGGTTCACGTGTATTTAAAATACATTCATATGTATTTAAAATGGCCTAAAACAGGATCTTTGTTATGCCAAAAAAGTGTTCCTGAGTCACAGGACTTTTTCATCCATGGGACATAACTTTTTCTCAGTTTTCTTCCTGTGGAAACTGAGTATGAAGAATCACCCAGGGATTTGATTAAATGTTAGTCCATTTAAAGTTTAACAATATTAGTTCATTTAAAAGTCATTTTAATGATATGCAAATGACAAAGTGTAGCATTTCTGAACAAAGCCTTAAGAGTGTCAAGGTGCTGCCCTTTGAACCACATATTAAAAGCTACTCTAAAACAAGAGCTGTGAAAATGGGCAGCAGGTGTGGCAAAAGTACAGTTCTAGGACATTCCCAGGTCACTTCAGTGGAAGAACAGTTAGGACACTGAGAGTTTTGAAAATCTTGCTTCTGTTTCTAAGGAATTACCAATACAATAGCTTTACCTTGTGAAAGCTGCTTATTTTTACAAACTCTTAAAACATACTCAAAAGGGCAATTAAAACCAGTTGAAGGTAACACTGTAAATATTAAATCAGTTCTGAGATTGTATTTGCATATTAAGAGATGCTTAAATTAAAAAATATGACATGAAAGGCTTAATTTTCCAAAGCTGCCTTTCAAAAGGTGAAAAGCTGTGGGTATGGCCATGTTCCCTGCTCTTCCAGAGTCTGCACACCTGCAGATTGGAGCTTCTGTGGAAACCAGAGGAGTGTGTATGCCTGTCTAACTTACCTGAAGAGGTATTTCACACCTGACATTTCAAATTAGGTTTTTTTTCAAATTCAAGGGACATAGGGGACAGGACTGGCTTAGTGGTAGACCATCCCCATGACAATTTCACATATTAATGAAGTTATTTAAGACTCTGCTTAAAAGGATTTTCTGGTTGTTATGTTGAGGCATGGAGTCCGAAAATAATCAAGTTGAAAAAGCCAGGAGAGTGAAAGGATTCAAAGGTGTAGTTCTTGTTAAGTCTCTGGGCAGAGACCAAAAGATAGTGTGCTATTAGTAGTTCTCTTAATCAGTGTCTTAAAGACTCTGGCAGGCTGAAGTTTATCCTGATGAACTGGTAAGGCTGTTGCACTCGTGTTATTCCTATTACAGGGAAGTAATTAAAGTACATCCTAACATCTTGCCTGCATATATATGACTTAGCTGCTCTGGTGGTTTCCTATAATCAGGGCAGTATCTGAGTGCACTGAGGTTCTGCCAGTGCTCTGAAAGTCTGCAGACTTTTCAGCTTTGCACTGGACTGCAGAGCCTGGCTTTGAAAGTTTTACATCTGCCTGTCCCTGACCACCATGGTGTGATAGGAAGTGCTGTCCCCATCCTCTCCTGAATAAAGCCATTCTGCTAAGTCATGGTCTTACCCTGAAGGACAACCCTGCAGGAACCTTTCTAGACACAAACACTATGCATTTCTTTTAGTATTTTAACTTGGTTTTCTGCTCTTTTTGTTAACTTTGATCAAAGCCAACGAAATTCGTCATTATTTCTAATACTACACAACTATGATAGTTACATGTTTTTTGTATTGTTACAGTTTCCTGGTACCATTTGTGCTTTGTTACGAAAATGAAGCAAAACCAAAAAGCTGATCCAGCAGGTTATATGTAAATCCAAAATAAAGTCATATCACAGTAATACATACTACTACAAAGTTGATGTGCAATATTGTGAAAAATCAACAAATCTGGAAGCTAAAACAAATACAGGTCAATAATCTAGAGGCATATACAATAAGCACTGCTTCAGAGAATACTCTGGGTGGCTTTTGAAGCCACTGAGTCTGAAGCAGGATGAACAAAACAATCTGGAGGAGAGCTGCATCTGTGCTGGCAGCTCGTCCCCTTGGCAAACCCATGGCAGGAGCTTCCCAACACCTGCAGGGATCCTGTAAATCTACACACTGGACAGTTGTGCATTCAGGCACAACATGAGGATGTTTTGGTCTTGTCTGCTCCACAGTCAAATGTTTCTCTGTCCTTGAGACAACAAGATTTTTGGCACACCATCTAGTATAAGGACATCTTTGCATCTTAGGAAGTCAAGTTGCTTCCTCATGAGAAAAAGTACAAGCTACACTTTCTTTTCAGCTTGGATCATACTCCATCAGGCTTTTTAGGGAGAATTTACTGAAACTTGTCCTTTTAATTTTAACAAGCACTGTCTTGCTGCTCCCTTCTTTTGTGGCATGTAGCTTGTCTGTGCTGAACACCAAGCTTTAGCAGCTGCTTATCCTGTTAACTACTTACTTTATATGTTTACTTGAAGTTGCACCACATTTTGTCTTAAGAATGAATAGCCTTTTCTTCAAAGTAATATTTTAGGCTAGATTTACATTATTTACAGTACAAGTAGAGAATATGCTGTTGTCATTTTCATAACCTTAAAAATACACTAATATTGAAGACAGCAAGCAACACCTTGTGTTGCTGAAAAGTCAAATTCAGGCACCAAGTTTTCTTTCTTGGTTGAGATGCAGATTCTTATCACTGACATTCTTGCTGGATTTCATTTTCAGTAGGGGATGAAGTTTTCACATCACAATAGCTAAAATCATGTCCATAAACTAGGTCCTTCTGAGAGTGTGGTTCATGGACTGTGACAGCACTCCATGCGTTGCTCTTCCTCAGGGATTTCTGTAAGAGTTCTCTCATTCTCCTGTTTTCTTTGGCTGTGGATTCCCACATGATTTCAAGTTCCCCTTCTGTTTTCCTAGGAAAAAAAAAATGAAGAGAAATCCTAACTTTAACAATGTTTTAGCAGTACAGAAGTACAGCATGTGGATAAACAAATTAGAAATGGCCTGTATTTAGGTGCTTGAAATTGCCTGATTGAAATTCATTCCTTTTCTGCTTTTGAAAAAGCTCATTAAATAATGCTAAATAGGGTATGACCAAACTACCCATTATGTAACAAGTTGAATGAAGTCTGCACACAGAGCAGTGCATGTGAGACCCAAATGCTGTGACTAGCCCTCTGCACTGACTTGGGCTCCCTGGTGGGCACAGCTCTGCTCCCCACATTGCAGTGCCCCTTCTCTCTGCCCAGAGCACTGTGCTCACCCCTCTGAGCCCCAGGGGTCTGATCAGAGTCAGACTCTGTGCTCAGCTAATGCATCTTTGTGGGAGCCAAACAAAAGTGGTATCAACTTAGAAGGCAGACAAAGCCCAAGAGCTTGGATTTCCTTGGACTCCTAGTGTATGTCAAAATACAAAATAATAAGGAAATGAAGATCAATTGACATGGAAAGCATAGCTGATGCATGGAAAATGAGCACACATAGGTTAATACAGAACCAGAGGACAAGTCTCAAGCTGCATCAAGGGAAATATAGGTTGGATATCAGGAAAAAGTTTTTTACAGAAAGGGTGATAAAGTTCTGGAATGGCTGCCCGGGGAGGTGGTGCAGTCACCATCCCTGGGTGTGTTTAACAAAGCCTGGATGTGGCACTGGGTGCCAGGGTTTAGCTGAGGTGTTGGGGCTGGGTTGGACTTGATGATCTCAAAGGTCTCTTCCAACCCGGTGACTCTGTGAATTCTGTGAATCTGATCTCTTCTTGGAGGACTGATTTTTAAACGGAGCTGAGAGATGCAGAGCCAGAGAGAGCTAACTGAGCTGGCTTTGGGATGAGCAGTCAGAGCACCCTGCAGCCAGGAAAGGGCAGTGCAGCTGGCCCTGCTGCACACACAGCATGCTGCAGCCCCAGGTAAGGCTCTGCAGTGTGGCACAGCTACAGTGCCACAACTACACAACTTGCAGTGTGGTGCTGCTTCATAGTTCAGCTGTTTTGCAGGTCAGCATCTGAGAAGAAGCAGCAGCATCCCAAGTGTAGTTAGACAAGGGTATTTTGTTTGAAAATTTTGATCTGATTGAAATTTAAAAATGCACTCAGCAGAAGTGGTTGGGGAGAGGATGTCTTCTTGCTAGTCACAACCCCCCTTCCCTTAAGGAATTTGGATTACAGAGCAGCTTGGTTACTACAGCTGCTGATGCTCTGTACATCTCTCTCAACACCAAAATTTCCTCGTCTCTACAGCTGGTTTGCCTTTTGAAACACAAGTCTTTGCCACTTGGCATTTAAAACTAGATACATGCTCAGTTTAGATACATGTGCTGCTTCCAGATGCCTTTAGACAAAAGGTATTAAGCTAATTTCTTATTAATGTAGGCTATTATTAATGAAATAAGTAAAAATAAAAATTTAATTCAACCCTTAACCTAGCCAAAATGTAGGATTTTATAATTTGTTGAGAATAAGCAAAATGCCAGTGCCCCACTGATGTTTGAGGATGAAAAATTTACCAGAAGTAGGTTCTGAAAGATTCTTCTTTAAAAAAGACATGCCCTCATTGAACTAAATTCATTCAGCCTTAAATCTCAGAATCTTATTTGGGCTGGCTCTATAATTCATTTTCATCTATCCTGTGACAGTTTATTTACATATTCCTTATCACAGAGGTTTTTATTGTGGTTATAATTTCGTATGTCACCTCACAGATAAGACAGCTCCTCCCCCTTGCCCGTGCACAACTGCAAAGCTTTTCTGCTGTTGACCCTCTTCCAAGGACAGGTTTAATGCACTTTCAAACTTACATTCTGCATCCAAAGCACAGCAGCTGTGACTACCTTGAGGTACTGTTTCTCTGCAGGAGTCTTATGAAATAAACTCTGACCTAGAAAACTCATAAAGGTCAAGTAAGACTGGAAATATTTAGGAACCTGGTTTTTTACCCTAGGGTCAGATCATGAACTTTGTTTATAATTCAAACCTCTTATTTAATGAAAGGTTGTGATATTGATATCTCTTAAGGTTACTCAGTGACTAATAAAGATGTCATTATCAGCTGCCTGAAAAACAAAATGTTATTGCTTTCTCATTAAAGGTTGCTGGGAATTTGCAATATTGTCTAGCAAAGGCTGTAATTACTGATAAGGCTCTAAGGAGCAGCTTCCAGGAAGGGAAATCTGCCTATCTTTAAGAGCTTTTATTTATCAGAAGTACAACTGTATCTATATGTGTTTCTTTTTGAAAACCAAGTAGAAAAATCCTCATCCCTTGGATGCAATGGGTAAGTAATGAACTCCTGATTTTTCTTATGAGCTGAAAGAATGCAGAAGGGGAGAAAATTTCAAAGGCATCTCTGTTATGTTTGATGAAAGCCCATGCTAGTTTGGAGTACACTTGTTAAAAACAGAAGGAGAGAAGCAGCACATGAATCCATCTCTTTGTCTGCACATGCACTACTTGTGAGCATAAGAATGCAGAAGGGGAGAAAATTTCAAAGGCATCTCTGTTATGTTTGATGAAAGCCCATGCTAGTTTGGAGTACACTTGTTAAAAACAGGAGAGAAGCAGCACACGAATCCATCTCTTTGTCTACACATGCACAACTTGTGAGCAAGCTGTGGCTGCAGCTCTCTGCCTCTGGGCACACAGGGCTGGGCAGTGACCTGCCACCACCCCGGCTGCTGAGCTCCCCTTCAGGCCCTGCTCATCCCTGTGCAGCTCTCACGGAAAGCACGGCGCTGTTTCCACTTCTGAAGTGGGATTTCACTTTGCTTTACAAGAAAACTTAGCAGCAACAACAGGTACAGTATGCTTTTATGATAAAGAATTTCATGGTGGTAGCTAAGTCAGAGTTGCCCCAATTTCCTATCTCCATATTATTAAACTAAATGCAAGAGCAAAATAAATTATATGAAATAGTTTTCTGTCTTCACCTGCTTACAGTGATTCATCATACCTTCAGCTAGATTTTAAAGTATGTTGACTTTTCTGCTTAAAATGCGGCAAGCTACTCTGATTTTCATCACCTAACAGTGAAATTGGAGAATAAATTAGAAATTAGAGAATAAATATTGATTGTATGCACTTATCCTAATGTCTGTGTAGGCATTTTGCACAGAAACATTATCAGCTACACAGTACTCTGGACTAAAAATCTACTCTGTGAATACAGCTAGTCACAATAAATTGAAATGTTTGGTACTCTCCGAGCACTAAGGGACTTTAGTTGCCAAGCTAGAGATGATGAGCAACATCTGAACTACACATCATTTTCCCTTCCTTACTCCTGTGACTGTGTGAAGGGAGATAGAAAATAATAAACCTTGTAAAATCATAAATACAGAAAGCAGACCAAAAGACATGTTTAATTTCTGACTGATAGGCATAAAAGAGTAGATACATATTTGGATTACCTTGGGAAACTAGTTTATATTGCAGTACTTGAGAAAAATAATGGAATATGAAGAAACCAGTCACTCATGACACCATTCAATAATGTTTGAGACTACAGAAATGAAAGACATATCTTGATGAGGTTCATTTTGGGCATGTATCCATAAACCACCTTTCTTCATCATCATACAGTTAAATGGACTACAATGGTGTAGTTCCAGGTGCAGATCTTGTTTCTTAAAAGGCAGATGCAAGTATTAATTGTGTGTGTTTACTGAAGAAAAAATGAATTAATTTGGACTGAAAAGGTAAAAGTGATTTAGTATACTATATGAAAAGTGTCACTATTTTACACATCTGTGTTACATCATCTAATTTGCCTACTTTGGGGCTAGAAGGGTAAATTTTGAATTATCCATATTATGGGATTTCAAATTATGCTCTGTCCCACACTGAAAAAAACCCCTCTTTATTTAATTGTTGTTCTCTACAGTAAAAAAAAAATTTACATGAGCTCAGAGATATGAAAGTAATTTAATTAGTTTAAGATCATAAATAACTAGTTCCAGAGAAATGTGGATCACTTCAATCTGGTTTTTAATGCAAATTTCAGAGATTAATGGAATGTTAATTGTACAACTCTGCTGTTTACACCTGTTTAATTGCACTGTATAAGTAACTGAGAGGGACTGTACTGATGTAAGGTAGATGATACCAAGCCCTGTTTTTCTATTGTCTGTTAAAATCTATTTAAATCTTTTATTTCCCAATGGCAGTGATGACTTGAGAAATTACTGGTTATTACTTTTCCTCAGTTGTAAACTGAAACTGTTTTTCTTTTATGCTCATAATGTAAATGTGCTGTGAAGCTTTCCACTATCAGAGGGAAAAAATACCTTTAAAGGACTCTGTATTTAAAGGATGTCTCAACACTGCAGTCATAATCTTCTATAAATCTGTTACATTTTCTTCTCTTTATTGTGCACATAGCAAATCTAAGTCACTTGTCAATAGATCAGTAAGATTCAAAAGAAAACAGATCTTTGGTGTACTCATTAGATTCCCTTCATTTCCTACTATTCTGAAAACTGTTGAGGGGTATGAATGGGAAAGTGTTCATCCTTTAGCAGAAGGTGCTACTAAAATAAATCAACATATATCTTAATTTATAGAATCCTTTCAAATTATCAAAGACTCACACAGATTCATATCCTTCTTAAGAAGTTTTAAGAACAGCAGCAGCCATACAGAATAAATTCCTCCTTCCAAAGACCTTTCTGAGAGCTGGCAATCATGAGCAGGGTTTCGGCATTCTCATTTTTGGAACATACCACAGGAGACTCTGCTGCTGGCTGTGTGCAGGTGCTTTCCCCTGTCCCCTCACCTGCCTGAGCTGCCTGGGTGGCTCCTGCCTGTGCCCCACTCACCTGCTCTGCTGCAGCACCTCATTGAGGGTTTCCTGCTTGTCTTGCAGCAGACGCTGCAGGTGCTGCTTTTCTTGCTCATACTGAGCAGTCTTCCTTTCAAATTCCTTCTCCTGCTCAGTCATCTTGAGATTGATATCTCCAAGCTTCCCAGCTGCTTTCTTTTTATATGCCTGTAAGGGTTAAAGTTAATAGAAAAAAGTGGGATTGTAGGAGAAATAAGGACAAGTCATTACCAACAAAAGAAAGAGTTAAAGATATTGATTTTCAGTTGAATCTTTACATCAATGCTGCCTTGCTTAATTATGCCAGGTAGGTTGCACTATGGGATTTTTTTTTTAGCCTATTTGTTAATTTGAAGGTATTACACTTCATTTTGTTCTGCATATAAAACTACTGTGTATAATGAATACCATACTGTAAGTTTGTTTTACAGAAAACACAGTTACCTGCAAAAAAAGGTTTGTTTTCCAAGATACAAAGCTACACTTTACAGCACAGGTTGCTTACCACTTGCCAAACAGTCACACTTACCAGTACATACCATGAAAAAGTGTTTCTGTTAATACTAAGAGGAAGAAAAGAATACCTTTGCTTGCTGCTTCATGTAACAGTCCTCTTGCTCAGTGAAGCACAAGTGATTTTTTGATTAATGGCTATAATAATTAAACGGTAACTAATGACTGGTGTCATCTCAAAAAAAAAAAAATTAGTAACTTGGCTTTCTGAAATAATATCCCCATTAAATTGCATATGCACACAAGAAACTGCAAACTGATTTGTGTATTGTTACACATTTTCAGATGCTGCTGCTCTTGACAATACCAAAATCCAATATTAACTTATTTTCTCATGATTACAAATAGAATGCTAAAACTGTTTTTTCTCTGCATACTGTGATGTTTCCTACAGGTTATAGAACAGAGTTTTGAGACGGAAACACCTCCTTTAATAAAACTGTAAACTAAGTTAGTGAAGCTTTGAAAATACTGCTATTTATGTCTTGCTAATATAAAGTTTTATCTGAGGTGCTAATCACTAAGGTTTTATCTTCATCTGAATCAGGGGAGAAAGATTTGAGTTTGTCTTTTGGAGGAATTAAAGGCATTTTTAGACATGCTGTATATAAGGCTATATAATCCTTTCCACAAACTGTTTCCTTTTTAGCTCTTGCAAAGTGTGTCACTGTAAAGTTTCATTTTCTAGAGGTAATAGGACAACAATAGATTACAGAATATTAGTAACTCAATATTTAAGGCTGACTTACATAGGATTTTTATCCTAACTTTTCCCTAACAGTTCTAATAGAAGAATAAGAAGCTTGCAAGTTAACCAGTAACATCACTCAATTTTTTAGATTCACAGAGAAGCCTTCAAAATGCAGAGTAATGTTATGGAAGGCTAAAAGTAAAGAAGTTCCTTCTGAACAGAAGGCTGCTCAGAGCCAGCCTAGAGGAAGTGCAGAATACAGGGAAACAGCTGAACCTTCCCCTCTGCCAGTAAAACCCCAGCACTTGTCAGGTCCAGCCAGGTGTGAGACTTGAAATGCCCTCTGTAGATTAGATGTCCACAATAACTTCAAAGAACAAGAGCAAACTTCCTCTCTCGACTTTATCAGGGGGAAGGAAGGCTGGTGAATTGTAGCACTGGTGAAACCCTGCTTTCCTTCACGTGCTCACTGACATCCAGCTACAGGCTGCTCTGTGCTTTGAGCTGAGCTTTGTGTTTTAAGCTGCACTCTGCTCCTCCATAGCCACAGCTGCCTCTGCTGGCTCTGCACTCCTGCTCTACCTTTGCCAACTGAAGCTGAGTCCTGTGTGCAGAATGGTTGCAAAATCAGAGGGAAAAGGGCACCTTTTCCTTATGGCCATGTGACTATAGTCTGAAACTAGGTACGAGTGACACATTGTCCTGATCTTGCCTCTATGGATGGATTATAAATAAGGCTGTAAAATGCAGCCTGGGCAGGCTGGGATGGTTCTGGGCACACTGACACATGCAGCTGCTGGCACTTAGAGATGTTTCACACCTTTGAATTGTTCAAGATAACCTATTACTGCTCTCTGAAGTGAAGCAGGTAGCAGCAAACAGACTGGTGGAGATGACAGTTTTCAGGAAGAGGATGTTAACACATAGCTGGAAGTCATAATATTCTCCTCTAGAGCTAGTCATAGCACCCCCTGCACACAGTAAGCAGGATGAGGAATGATCATGGATGCAGGTGCTGGTACTGGAGAGGACATAATTTACTCCCAAGTGGTAAAGAGACAGTAAAGCAGACTGCAGCTGATGTAGAGGAAATATGCATACATGGTATTTTTGGGTCAGGGTATACACTGTGCTGCCATTCTGGCTAGGAGGCCCTTGGCTGCTGGGTTTGTCACAGAGATCTTGGAAATAAATTATTTTGCTGCAATCATGGAAAGATAGGTTCTATTCAGCAGGCTCAGAATGCCTGAGACACATAACTAACCTTCCTGGGGCTACTAATCTCTTCCCTGACTTTTGGCAGCACTTTTGTGTGAGTAGCAGTGTGTGCAAGTCATCTTCTGAGCTCACAGCTGAGTGGAGAAGTGTGAGAAAACTGAAACAGTTTTAGACAAAAGCCAGCAAAAATCAGGGCACATTTCTCTCTCCTCTGCAGACAGATCAATTTAAGAGTGTGAAACAGAATCCAGTGTTTCCTTACCAGTAAGATGAATGCATTTCCTTTCAATTTTGGTTATACTTTCTGTTTTCTATGCAAACATGGTTAACTCTGGGAAATAAGCTACATAGTATACAAAATAGTGACATACACCAGAATAATTTAGAGATTCTTTGTATACATCAGCTAACATCACAAAGTGTGAAAGATTTTGAACATATGAATGAAGGGAATGAATTGGAAGGGAATGAATGAAGGGAATGAAGGGAAAAGAGGTGTTGCAATATTATATGCTGTACTACCTGGGCCCTTGTATTTCCTGATTGGTAACTTGGGACAAAAAGAGGGGTGAATTCCTGCCCTGATAATTAAAAGATTTGGGGGAAAAAATAGTCCATTTTTAGGACTGACAAAACAATAGAAGCAGTTTCTTAAGTGGCTGCATTTAAAAAACCAGTAATGCTCCATGAATTTTCAAGGGTCACATACTGGAAAAATCTAGTCTAACAAAGCAGAATGAATACTCTGAACAGAAAAGCCATGTATGCAGCAAGACTTAAATCAACCCATGGTATCCTGATTTCAGACACAAAGCACCTTCCCCTAAGTCCAGACTAATGTTGATAGGAACATGGCAAAGGAACACTGGTGAGAGGAACATTGTCTCCTTCAAATGTGCTGGCATGAGCAACGGGTTATAGAAATCAGCAAGTTCTGCAATGAGCACATGCAGTTCTGAAAAATACAGCTCCTCAGTCATCAGGAAGTGCTAGGAACAAATCTTTATTGCTTTCTCTTCATCAATGACTATTTTGTACTCTAAATGCAATAGGGAGCAATATGGCAGGAAAAAAATTAAGGCCAAATTAGTAAACTTGCATGAAAATATATAGGGCAGTTACAGTAGGAGATGCTAGATGGTAGATGTTTTCAATACAAAGGTTGTTTCTGCTTTTACTAAAACCTCATGACTAACAAAATTATTATCAAATAGATTCAGAATTAATGAACTTGTAATCTAAATTCTTTTTTTCAACAGTGTGTGCATAATTTAAAGATTGATTACACTTGCAGTAAAGGAAAGGAAAAGGTGTCTAATGATGGAGTGCAAATTCTGTTATCAGAGATTTATTATTCACAGTTATAAGTCCACAACCCTGGATTGTTTTCACAAAATTTGTACTAGATGTTTGACTAAAATACTTCATAAAAAAGACAGATTTTTCTGTGTTAGCTGTCCCTTTTGCATGAAGTTGAAGGACTCCCTGATGAGACAAACATTATATCCAAGCTCATATTAAAAGAGAAAACAGTGCAGAATTCTGACTGTAAAGAAACAGTTTTAATACCAGAAAAATTGGCTTCCTCAAATTCTTGCCATGAATCATCAAACTACTTGGTAATTATAATTATGGAATTACAAAGAGAGCTCCCAGGGAACCCCAGCCAAAGTACCTCAGGTTATCATGCTGACTCCAGTCAAAGTACTACCTCAAGCTATCATGCTGACCATGGCACTGAGAGCTTCTCTCAGTTCACAGAATCACAGAATAAATTAGGCTGGAAAAGACCTTTGTGATCATGAAGTCCAACCTATGACCTAACACCTCCTCATCAACTAAACCATGGCACTGAGTGCCACGTCCAGCCTTCTTAAACAGCTCCAAGGACACCTCTCCACCACCTCCCTGGGCAGTTGCAATGCCCAATCATCCTTTCTGTGAAGAATATTTCCTAATGTCCAGCCTAATCCTCCCCTGGCACAGCTTAAGGTTTGTCCTGTCACTAAATGCTTGGGGAGAGAAGACTGACCCCCCCATCTACAACCATCTTTCAGGGAGTTGTAGAAAGTGATAAGGTCACCTCTGAGTCTCCTTTTCTCCAGGCTGAGCACCCCCAGCTCCCTCAGTGGTTCCTCACAGGGTTTGTGTTCCCAGCCCCTCTCCAGCCTCGTTGCCTCCTCTGGATTGCTCAAGCATCCCAATGTCCTTCCCAAACTGAGGGGCCAGAACTGGACACAGCACTGGAGGTGTGCCCTCACCAGAGCCAATGACTTCCCTGCTCCTGCTGGCCACGCTGTCCCTGCTCCAGGCCAGGTGCCATTTGGTCTTGGCCCCCTGGGCACGCTGCTGGCTCAGGTTCAGTCACAGCTGACCAGAGCCCCCAGGTCCCTTTCTGCCTGGGCACTGTGCAGCCACTCTGTCCCCAGCCTGTAGGGAGTTTCGTGGCCAAAGTGCAGGACTTGTCATTTGGACTTGTTAAATCTCACATTGTTGGACCTGGCCCATCTATCCAGTCTGTCCAGGTCCCTCTGCAGAGCCCTCCTACCCTCCAGCAGACCAACAAAGGCTCTCAGCTTGGTGTCATCTGCAAGTTTGCTCATGGTGGACTCAATCTCCTCATCCAGATCATCATGGAAGATATTAAACAGGACTGATCAGAGCCCCAGCACAGACCCCCCAGGGACACCCCTGGAGCCTGGCCCCAGCTGGATGCAGCTCTGTTCATCACCACTCTCTGGGCCGGCCATGCAGCCAGTCCTGAACCCAGGACAGAGTGCTCCTGTCCCAGCCCTGGTCTGCAGCTTTTCCAGGAGTGTGCTGTGGGAGACAGTGTCAAATGCTTTGCTGAAGTCCAAATAAACAACATCCACAGCCTTTCCTGCATCCACCAGGAGGGTCACATGGTCATAGAAGGAAATCAGGTTGGTCAGGCAGGTCCTGCCCCTCCTAAGCCCACGCTGGCTGGCTCTGATCCCCTGGCCATCCTGCAGGTTCTGTGTGATGGCACTCAGGATGATCTGTTCCATATTCTTGCCAGGCACTGAGGTCAGGCTGACAGGCCTGGAGTTTCCCAGAGCCTCCTTCCAGCCCTTCTTGGGGATGGGCTTCACATTGGCACTTCCAGTCATCTGGGAGCTCCCTGGTGAGCCAGGACTGATGGTAAATGATGGAGAGCAGCTTGGGGAGCTCATGTGCCAGCTCCCTCATCACTGGGATGGATCCCCTCTGGTCCCACAGACCTGTAAGCACCTAAATGGTTTAGCACAGCTCTGACTGCTTCCTCCTAGATTACAGGGTGGCTATTCTGCAGGGGGCTCCCTTTTCCCATCTACCAGCTCAGGAGGCCAGCTGTCCTGAGAGCAATCTGTCTTACTGCTGAAAACTGAGAAAAAGATGGTGTTAAATACTCTGCCTTTTCTTCATCTTAAGTTAATCTATTTCCCCCTGCATCCAATGAAGTATGGAGGTTGTCCTTGCTTATCCTTTTGCCAGTATTGGTTTTGCACTTAAAATTCACTACATGTAAATATTCTTCATTTTATGCCAACCTCTTCTCTATCCCTTACAGTAGTCACAGATCTATTACATTGCAGAAGATTCACATTTAACAAGAATACAAGCCACTTTCTTAGTAGGGGAGCTAGACACAAATGATGGCGAAAAAAGCTAAAAATATTTTATGGCTGTCTTACTATAATTAGGTAAGTCTTTTACAGTAGTGTTTCATGCATTCAGGTATTTTATGAAGGGTTCCTTACAAATTCAAGGTATTTTTCAGCTTACTGCCCTCTCTTTACACTTACAATTTCATTTATTTTCTTTGTTGCTGATTTCTATACTGTGTTGATCCTTACAATGAAAGTGCAGAAGGAGATGGTCTCCATTACCACAGTGGTGATGCACATTTGTGTCATTTGATGCAGGAATAGCAGTGGAGGTCTTGACTGGCAAAGTATAATATAGAGACTCTCTGCTTTAGGATAAATGGAATAAACTTGACTTAATACAAAACAGCTTTTGTAATAATGTAATCTATACATTACTTTCTAGATATGGAAACCAATATACCAGGTATCTTTCTCCTCTCTTTTTTTTTAAGATTACAGTAAAAATAATCATGATAGCACCAAAGATGCTGAAACATAAATGTTTCAAATTTATTTCACTGTTATACTACAATTACATACTGTGCTTTTTGTTTAGAGAGTTGTAAAGATAACTCATAATGTATTCACTAACTAGGCTGGATGTTTGAACATCTGAGTTTCTCAACCTTCTATCCTATGGTCACAAGAAAGTACTTGATGATAACTGTACACCTAAGATAACACTTTCATTCTTCCAAATCTAATTGTAATGGACTTCAAGTTAAAGGAGTGGTACAGCCTCAAAGAAGTAGAAGACAGAACACGTGGGTTACAATATAGGGCAAAAAATTAAATACAAATAATACATTATTACAACTTGTCATAATTCTCCAAGTAACGATGTAAACACAATATCTGGCAGATATGCAATGCACAAATACAATGGAAGAAGACACTAGTGAAAATTATAATGATGATCTATTTTATTTTTTCAAAACTTTTAAAGATAATCCATACATAAGTCTTTCATAAAAACACTGGCAGAGATTAACTACTTTTCTCATTTAAAAACCCCAAACATTTCACAACAGATATTTAGCTTAGAAGCACTGCTTACCTTAACTTTTTCTTCCAATCTTCCTAAGCGCAGGCTGCCTTCTATAATTTTCTTGAGAACACCATGATTCTCATTTTCCAAACATCTGGCCTGCAACCATGCAGTAAACAAAGCTACATGTAACCACTCTGTTTGTTTGTCAGGGCAGACAAAATGCATACATTGAGACAGACACAGCAATTCCATTTTGAACTCTTCTGTCTGAAGAACCAACATGGATAAAGAATCCTGGAAATTATTCTCATAATGACTCATTAATAATTTGTCAACTGACTGTGAAGACTATGAAGCAGTGTTATTCTGAAATGAAACATACTGTAAACCCAACTAATTCTGTGGTTTTTTTCCTACAGATCTAAGTATGCATATGTAGGGATGTCATTTTTAAGCATAAGACTCATCCTTTAGGTCACATCTAGCAATCTGCTCTCAAACAAGCCCTTGAATTTGGCAGGGGTGCAGGCAAGGATATTTATAATATGGCATGATTAATATTTGAAAACAGACATCCCAGAGATTGAGATCTAAGAATCAGCCCCCAGTTTCTAGGATACATTTATTGTTCCCAGTTTCAATCCTGAAGTCCAGTGTGTAGTGGACAAGGATTTGAGCTGTGTCACCATAGCTCCCCTTCTAGAATTAGGAATTAACTGCTGTATGTTTTTATCCAATGCTGATGACAACCTTTGTCTACTACCTGGACAACAAGTAAAAGAAGCTTTATTTTTAATAAAGTTTTGTGAAATTATTTCAGTTTCAATTTGAAGACAAGAGTGTGAATATGAAAACTTGAAATTGTGCCCAGTATCCTGTAAAAGAAACAAAATGGGCTTACAAAAAGCCCAGAAACTTCCATGCCAGGCACTTCCACTAAAAAGAAGTTGTTCCAAAGTCTCAATGAGCCTGTCAAAATGACTGCTAACCAATAAGGAGCATTAATATGCATATGCATCCACAGCAGACACTCCATACAAATCACTTCAAGGATAACAGTCCACCCTTAAGACTCAAAATAAATATTAAAATCTTATGATAGTGTGCTATTTTTAAATACATGTAGCTCAACATCAGCTTCTAAAACTAGGTTAAAAAAATCTTTTAGACTTGGCAAGTGCCATTTCAGACCCTAATGCTCGTGTGAATTAAGGCTTAATTATATTACCTCGAGAAATAAGGGTAGCTGCTTTTAATTGCTCCTCTAGAAAAGAAATCTTTCACTGCTCCTATCCTATTTGCTAAAGCCCACTTAAATAGAGCTAAATCCTTATACTGGAATTACAGCTTCATTCTTTGATAATTCAGATTAATAATACTTGTGCCAGTAGCATGATAACTGTGTGAAATATGAATTAAATCACATTAATTATTTAAAGGTAGTTACCAAAAATACAAGATGATCACGTTCCTTAGCTATCTTCTCCACCAGCCCAATAAGGTTTGCTAGATAGTGATGGGCTGCAACTTCTTTTTCCATTGCTTCCTCCAGCTGCAGTTGCAAAAGACCTATTTTCTTCTTTAATCGTCTATAAAAGAAAAGAGAAAATCTTTGGATTGGGAATTAGTAATGACCTTAAAGAACTTGTATCACTCATGCAAATCAACAGGTACAAGTCTCAAACATTTGTACATACTGTTAAAAATGCACTGGCTCAGAATATTTGCAGTGCCCTTAGTATCATGTTCCAATTTTTGGGGCTGCTTTTTCTTTACAATACGTTATCTGAATAAAAATAGTAACAATGATTCAAAATAACAGTTTGTGCAATGGCTACAAGCTCCTGTTTCTTAAGATACAGAACAATAATCCTGTCTTTTTAAAATATTGTGAACTCCTTTCTAAGCAACCAGGTGCGTGAGAAGATCTGCAAATAGTGTAAGTCTTATCCTTATCTAACTGCAAATAGGGTATGTCTACTCATCTTGTTTTCAGGTAAGTACACCTAATGATTAATTGCTACAGCTAACTACTAACTATTAAAGATTATTCTTAATTTGCACTTAGACACAGAAAAGTGAGCATGAAAACATACAAAGGTTAGCAAAACTTGACAACCAGGCCTGTAGACATGACAAACGTGTTTAGGTAACATGGCTTTTTCTTTGCAGTAGGTAGAAAATACACATTATGGGAAGTCAGACAATATTTTTACAGATATTTCTGTTGTTTTTAGAAATAAAAGTATTTATATACAAGAAAATGAGACTGTGATAAGACCTGTTTGTCTTTTGAGTCATCTGCATCTCAGTTTCCAGGATCTTCTTGTCAGCCATGAAGTTATTTTTCTCTAGGAGCAGTTTCTTGTTTTCAGTTTGCAGTGATGCTATTTTTCCCATTACAGCTTCCACCTCAGAGCGTTTTTTCTCCTGCTCCTGCTGTAAACAGCTGCAAAAACCAGCAGTGTAGAAGAGGCATCATGTACAGATCTACATCACTAAAATGCTAAGTTACAGGAAGATACCCATGTTGAAGTTATGAAATAAGATACATTGAGAAAGCTCAGTGTTCACTGATGACATCACAGAGGTATTAAAATCTCATATCAAATTATTCAAGTAATTCCTTCTGACTGCACTTTATTTAAATTATAAAAAAAATGTAGTCCAGATGTAATCCCTTCATGTTTCTTTTTTTCTCAAATAAATTACTATCAACAGCAAAATACAAGGTCTGAGGATTTCTCAGGATGGCACTGTCCCATGAAACAGTAACCTGCACTATCCAAAGGCTTGAAAGCATACAAATGTATGGAATGTCTTCACAGAAACATTACTCTGCAGGTTATGCTGCACAGCAGCACTTCTGAGTTGTGATGTTTCATGTAATTTCCATATTGTATCAAATGAAGAAACTTAGAACTTCTAGCTCAGAATTCCTGGATTCCTTAGACATGTTCCAAAGATGGGAACACAAGAATGAGAACATTTTACATATAGTACTGATAGAAGCAAATAGATTTGACAAAAATGGTATGTTTAATGCCTCCTCTTCTACTATTCCAGATGTTATAATTAGCAGTAGGTACTCTGTGGTAAAAAAAATTCCAGCCATGTTTCTAGAACTGGGATTTTGTAATTTTAAATGTCTCTAAAAACTAAGACAGTATTTTTAAAATACTTCTTTCTCTTTCTTTGTGCTTTGGTACTTACCTTCCTGGATTACCAGCATAAGTTTCCACTGGCCTCCTGCCTACAGAGTGCTACGTGTGCAGCTCTGGTCATGTGCATGCTTTGCACCAATTTTTCTCTGTGCACCATATGTAAACTCATACCTTTTTAAGTCATTCACCACAGCCAAGTGTTCCTCTGCTGTTATTCTGCTATCCACTTTGGCTTTCAGCTCCTCACATGTAGAACACAGAGCTGCTAGCTGCTTCTGGTACTCTGTTATTTCTTCCTCTTGACTCTTTTTCTTATCTTCTAAGGCTACTATTTGTTTGGTCAACTTTGAAGCTTTTGGAAAGAGGAAAAAAGAGTCAACTGTTTATAGCAGAACTAATTCAACCACTGAGTGAAACTTCAACAAAACCATTACTACATTAATTCCTAGTTGTTTACAACGTTATGCAACAGAGCATTTGTCAGTTTGTGTTTTAACAGTTTGGACTTGACTTTTTGCTGTCTCAAGCAACTTGTTTTGGAATAGTGCAGAAACTTCAAGAGTACTTCTTTTCAAGGCTATAAGCTCGCTGAAATGTCATTTTACTCTGAAAAATTCTGATTCAGTTTGAAGTGCTCTTCAATTATGCAAATAACTGTATTGCTGGTTAACAGTTCTCACTTTTTCAGAAGAAGTCAAAATGGAGTATTTTTTATAGTGTCAACAGGTGATAATAACTTTTTTTTAAAAGCATCATTTGATAAGCAGAGCTTGATCTCCTATAACTTTACCTACTTCAAGGATGCTTCTTAGACATATATGAAGTTGCAAAAACATCCCCAGCCAACCAAAACCAAAACACTGCCAAGCTTGCAGAAACAAAAGAAGGACAACAGAAAACAAACAAAAACCCTACAAAAATCAAAACCTACAGTACCATCTTTAGTGTAGTTCAGATGACTAGCAACTCAAGCCCTTTTACCTTCTTGAACATGCTGCCTGTGACTGTCTTTTGCTTTAGCTTGTTGAATTTTGAGTTGCTCCATCAACACTCCATTTTCTTCCAAGACCAGCTTGGCCTGAGTTTGCAGCAGCTGCCTGCAATGATAACTGGCTTTTAAAACAATATAACTCAGATGTTATGTCTAAAGAACAAACAAAACTGATTGCCAACAGTGTAAATCTACAGAATCATATTTGAACCTCTTTAAAAATAGATTAAAAATCCTTATTGAAAGCAATATCAGGACCTGAGGTAACCAAATCTATACAGATACAAACACCTGTATTTCTGCCTCATTGAAAGTAAGTCTATGCCACTGGGTGAATCTGCAGAAAGACTTAAGATTATGCTGCATGCTCTCTCTTCCAGTCCTCCTCATGTAGACATGGTGTCATCTGAGCCCTTGCATGCAACTCCTACCTGTGCCATGGGTGCAGGAAGAATTTTTATGTTCACTCATAGTGGATGCTGTTCCCAAACCTGTTCCAGCCTCCTTGTGAGCAGAAGCTCACCCACAGTGTGTGCAATCAGAGCAGGATGAAAGCTCCGCGGTGGCAGCGAATCCTCTGGGAGCAGGTCTGGCACCACAACCAGCCCTGTGCACTCAGATCTGAGAGTGAGGAGCTGAGCCCAGCCCCTGAACCCCAGCCAAAATCTCCAGGTGTCTGCACTTCCCGAGGGAAAGCCCCGCAGCTAAGAGACCAGAGTCAGCTGCACTCCTCCTCCTCCTCCTCCCAGCACATCTCCTGTCTCCCAAGCATCATCATTGCCATCTCTTAGGCAACAAATGGGAGAAAAAAAATTTTAAAAAGGAAAAAATAAAATGCTAACCTCCAACAACTACTTAACTTCATTATGCACTGTCTCACTTAACTTCATTTGCAATGTTTCACTTCACAAAAACACCAAATTCTTCTAATGCCACATTCCAATGCTATTTTGCATTAGTGGAAAACTGATGTCATTGGCACACTGTAAAGGCATGTAACCTGCAATATCTAGGACAGAGTTACATGGGCTTCCAGTGCAAAACTCCACATTCATACTTAATCTTTACTCCAAAATTACTCCAGGCATTGAAGATCAGCATTGTTCCAACATGACAGTTGTGATGCTATTAATTCTTCAGAAAAACAGTGTTTGAAGACAAAAAAAATTTTCCTTAAAATCTGTAATTTTTAAAGTTTGCATAAAATAAGCAAAATAATTTTTAACTTTGAAATTAATTCCTAGTAATATAACTTGCCATTCTGTAGGGGTAATGAAGTTATTTAATTGCCCATGCAAATCTTCATTCTCCTTCACCAACTCTTCAACTTGTGCTTTAAAATTCTTCATGTCTTCCTGGAAGATAAAGTATTTCATATAAAATTCTGTACAATTATTTTGCTTTAATTTTTATATCCAGAAAAAATTTTATAAGTACACATGCTTAGCTGCCTTCTAGTTCTTGTTGTAATAGAATATTATCTCACTACTCACTCATCTCTAATTCAGGTGTGCATATTTGATTTCTAAATTGTTTCACTAATCTTGTAATACTTGATTAAAAATAATACTGATATGTGCCCCATTTTTGCAAGCTGTAGACCCTTAGAAGATAGGTTTAAAAAGCTGAATTCTGGAAATTAGTGGATGATACTATCCATTTTCAGTAGAAGTAACATGGATTTGAATATGGTAAGACAACACCGTGAATTTACAGTAATATAAAAAACCCTTGGTGTTTTCTGCTTATTTTATGGCTGAATTTTTTGAAGGAAATACACTTACTTTCAAAACCTAGGGAAGTTGTACTCTGAAGCAAATAGCTATTTTTCAAAGATTCAGTGATAAAAAATACTTCTAAAAAGCAAAAAGAGTACCCAATCTTTTAATACCTAGAAGTATTCTTCTACCACAAAACCCTCAAGCAGCTGCAAGAGCACTGAGTTCCCATCATGAATGACAAAAATTCTTTATACCACTGACTACTTTATGGTTTGTTCCATTTTTAGAGCACATCTTACATATCTCAGTGTAGTGCATGCCCCTTAATGTGAACAGGCTGACAAAAACAAGCAAGTCAAGTAGGATAAGACAGCACAATAATTATGCATGGAAAAGTGAAACAAAGTTGCTCTAAACTTTAGGCAGAGAACATTATTGGCAAATCCCTTTAAAAAATTCAGTAATTTATTGCTGCATTTTTTCTAAATGGCAACTTGCCTCATGTTCAAGAATAAAATCTTCCTTTTCTCTAATTCTATCTTCATATGCCAACAGAAGAGGTGACAAATACTTCATATCCAGCTTAAAAGAAAATTAAAAAATAAATACATGAATATTAATTACAAGCCATAATTTAATCTGTAGTTTTTACTTCAGCTATAGATCATTGGTTTCAAAAGCTGTTAAAGGGGTTTCATGTATGACTTGCAGATTAAAGTGCAGAACTTATACAAGGACACAGACCACCATATGCAGAAACACTTCACAGCACTGCGTTAGGAGCAAGCTTTGGAAAGGAAAAGACTGCATGCTTCACTTGCAGCTTTCTTCTAAAAGCAGCTTTAACTTATCACTATATGCAACACAGAGAATATGGATGCAAATAAATACAAAACAAGATTCAAACACTATAGTGAACACTACTGCTAAAAAAATTATCCCAGATTCATTAGGAAGTGGGAAGGAAATTTTTACACTCTCAAATCTGCATCTTTAATACTAAATACATTCATATGTGATTATTGGCTATTTTGGCTACAGAGACAGAGCAGGAGAACTTTCCCATTCTGTATAGTTCTCAGTAACAGTGAGGAAGGAAAATATAAGATCTGTTTAGTATTTCAAGAAGAAATGTTTTTACATATTACAAATGCATTCCCTTTCATGGACTATTTGTCTTCTCCTTGTCAGAAATTTATAGGCTACTACTGGATCCATGACCACTCCTACAATCAGAAATATTCTGTTTTCATTTAGTATTATGACAAAAAAAGTAACAGCAAAAGATTACCAATTAAGATTACCAATTAAGCAACAGACCTTGGAAGACCTTGAAGCAGACTAAATGCTAGACAATTCTAAGTGAAGATGGCATTTATGATTCTCAGTGTAACAATACTTTTCAATAGTTCAAAGTTGGTGACTATGTGCAGTTTGTAGCTTATTGTACATTCAACTGGAACTGCACACATTCATTACAAAGTTCTGCCACACATATTTTTCTACCACAAAAGAAATGTTTATAATATTCGATTAGTATGTGATAGTTCAGCAGAGTAATAGCTGAATACTTTGATTTCAGTAAAGAAATTCTACTTCTTTATTTAGAGAGGAATGAACAGTTAAGTGCAAATGTTATTTGACTTACCAGCCATGGTGGTCGTGGTCCTTCCATGGGTAAGCTTTTCAGCTTTGCATTCTAGAATAAATATTTTAAAAGATATTGACATTATTTCCTGCTTTTTGAAGCACCAGCAACTGTCCCCTGCAGTCACAGTTATCACCCCAAACAAGCTTATTACATGTGTTGCATATGTAACACACACCCAATAAAACTGAATTTCAGTATGTTACTGATACATAATAATACTGAATTCTTAATATTAGACTTAATGATAGAGGCTTATTTTGAATTATTTTAAATTTCAGTAAAAGCCTGTGCAATTTATAGACTTTATGGCAAATCTGGAGAAAACAGTCATAAAAACTCAAAAGATTAAAAAACAGACAATGGGACATTTCAGTAGAAAGTGCCTTGATAACCAAGATTCTCACCTCTTCTTGGGACAATGACCTGAATTTAGTTTGATAGCGACTTAATTCTACATTTAAACGATGGACCATTGTTTTCAAAGCATCATTTTCATCTACCAGCTCTTGAGCTTGCTGTCTGAGAGAAAGCAATTCTGTTGCCTCCCCTGTTAAAACAAATATCCAACAAGAAAGTTCCATTAAAATTCAAGAAATGTTCACAACAATTTGTTAACTGTAATGAAAGAAAAATTAAATAAGCTAGAATAATAACCAATAACTTCTCTCAAAATACTGGTATGGAAAATCCCATTAAAAACTACTAGCAAAAAAATCCACTATATTTCAAACAACAAGCAAATTTGTTTTTTCTTATAATGTACTTACTCCTTGACAAAATTTCTACAAATGTAGAAAATACTGTTTGGAAACTACTTCTGCATGCATACTTGCCTAAATCAATCACTTGAAACCTACTGCTAAAGGAAAATGTTGTAAGAAATTAGAAAAATTGAAACAAGATAACTGCAGAATAGCTTGTACATTTCTCTCACCTTCTCTATGTGAGTTCTCTACAGCTTCTTTAAGTCTTTTGTTTTCTTCTTCTAGTTTCTTCAGCTTTAACTGCTGTTCTTCCATGTGCTGTTTTGTTCCCTCCAATTGCTGGGCCAGAGCTTGGTATGCCTTGTTCAGAGACCAGTTTTCTTGTTTTAGCTCTCTGAACTTTTCTTTGCTTATGTTTTCCCATACTTGCCTTGCCCGAACAGACACATCTGTAATGCCACAGAACAAGGTATTTAAATACTATCCAGACTGGAACAGGATTTCAGCAAATTACAAACCATTTTTTCTAATATTAACATTATATATGAGTGATATTTTGTAAGATCTAAGCTCACAGCTCCCAAAAGGTAAGACCTTAAATAATTAATAAAATAATAATAATAATAATTATTTCTTGATAAAGAAATAATTTTAAAAGTGGATTTGGAAAGAGAGCTGTGGAGTGGCTGCAAGTTCCCATCTTTTCTCTCAGACACTACAAACTTCTAAAATCATCTTTTAATGGAAAAGATAGTGTCAGCAGATCTTTCTCCCCCAAACATCAGTGACTGGAGAGGTAAATCTGAAATGCCCACTGCAATGAGCAAAGTGTTTGTGCCCTGCATGGACAAGTCAGTATCCTTCATCCCTGCAAATTTTAATCACCCATACAATGAAAGCTTTACATTCCTTCCCACTGAACAACTTCAGTGTTACTGAATAGAAGTTACTGAACAATTCTTACAAAAGTAAACTTTTAGATTATCTGCCAAACTCTGGATATATTGTTGCATCAGTAAAACTGATTTTCATTTACACATGCATATTAATAAAGTGAAAATGTCTAGCAAAGTCATTGAATAATCCAAAGTACCTGGGGATGGTGGAGGTTTGTCATGTATCAGATTTTCAGTTACTAATTTTTCCTCCTAGCAGAGAAATAAAAAAAGACAATCTGCTTTAACAGCATCACTGCTGAAGAACTTAAATAAAATTTTTGAAGGAGTTTCTTTTATATCAACAAAACTGAATGTTGGATTCACTGCTGATAACACAAAACTTAGCATTTACTAATCTAGACATCATGTTATCAATTATCACTGCCATCAGTCACTTGTGGACATCTGAAACTCATTATTATCTTCAGTAGTCAGGGACATACAGTTCTCAAAACAGTTTTTTTTTCCAGCTGACATAAAAGTCACAAACACAAAGCTTCTTGAAGAAACAGGAAGGGCATTCTTCCCACTTGTTAGTCTGTACAGAGTAAGACTTTAGAGTAGTCAATTATGACAGTCCCTAACTGGGTATCAGCAAATCAATTAAAATATAAAATGTTTTTCAGAGCTGAAGAACTTTGTTCTTGCTTTGCTGGAAAAAAACCCCAGAAGTATTTTGTTTTTCATTTTCAGAAGGTTCTTTTACCAGGAAAGCATTACAGTGTCATTTCTGCTAATGTATTTACTTGAGCTGAAAGTGATGTAGATACTTCCTCCATGTTTTTATGAAACAGCAGTGAAGTTTTATAAGGATATGCTGTCACGGAATTTAACACATTGATGATACTGAGTGACACCAGTGACTAAAGGAGACAAAACTCATGAACAATTTCAAAGGAAAAGATAACGTGGTTAAGAAAAAAGTTGTGATAACAATAGAAGAAACCATTTTCATAAACAATCTTCTGGCAAGCTGATCTGAGAAACTAAATTTTTGGGTATTCCTTTTCAAGCTTAAGGAAGCAGTCAGATCAGCTCAAATAGAAAACTATACAAAAATGCAGTGAAGTCAGGCTCAGAATTTGAAAATTAACAGTATGAGCTATCTCTTGCATGTTGTCTCTCATTCTCGGTTTCTTTCACATGAGTAACAGACAACATAAGAAAAAAAAATACAACAACAACTTTTGTATGGCTTATTTACCTATACAGCTTCATTTTTTCAAAAGGAATGATTAGCCACTCCTGTACTCCAAAAGAAAAAGATTCCCTAGTGGCAATAAATTGGTTTTAAGTGAGTGCAAACCTATCAGCTTTTTATGACACCCTATTTTCCAAAATGCATCAAAAATCAACCTTTATAAAAGTCTTACCTTTAAATTCAAGCCCAGATTTTGGTTTTCTGTTAAAGAAAAACAGATCTTTCAGTCAATTAGAACTTAGAAAACTTATTTTAAGTGCATAAGCTCTAAGGGTTCATAAGGATATGTATGCACACATTTAATACATGCAAATAAATGTAAGAAAGTCCTCGCCAAACCACAGATTAGATCACAGATTTCCATTAACTCTTTCATGGTGTATCAGGACACTGATGTGAGACCTCACTTTACCTCACACTGGATAGGTGCAAGTATAGAAGAAATGAAGCTGTATTGTTGGCTTCTGTTACAAGTTTAGAATTTGAATGAAGAACAAATGAAATATCGTCACTGATTTTACTGGACTCGAATCCTACTGCATCTCTGAACAAAACAAGAGTAATTCTGACAGCTTTCAAGGTCTACAGCAGTTACTATGTAGAAGAGGGATTAGAAACATTTTTTCAGTTTAATGCCTTCACTTCCCAAATGGTTTTATCAAAGCAGCCATTCTTTCTGAATATTGTTCTCTATAAAAGAGAAATAAATAGAGTCCACTGAAATAATACTGAAAAATGCTGGGATCCAATGTGAATAAAATTTAGAAAGACACAATTTTTTCAAAATTGACTCAGTTGGGCTTTCTCTTTCCTATCCACTAGCTACAGAGTGCTACCATCTGTGGGAGATATGAAAAACCTTATAGAATAAGGGCCTGACAGGCCTCTGTTCACTTCTGTTCATTTCTGTCACTTCAGCTCACCAGAAAGCACTCTGGGAAAGCCTCAGCTAAGGGGATAGCAAAAACCAAGTCACATAACCTAAAAAACAAGTTCTGTAAACAGAAAACAAGCCATGTAAGCAGTGTGGGCCCACCTTGTGTTTGGGATTCTGACTGGTCAGGGTACATGTGGACACTGTGTCATCAAAAAGGTGATGGGGTAAAGGAACATGTGAACAGCAGAGGCAGGCAGCCACTGCATGTTTGTTCTGCTCCATGGGAATGGAAACAGGTAGGAGTTTACTCCCTGAATACAGCATAAAAAGGCCTGCTTTTTTGCAATAAACCATCTTCCTTTGCAGCTGCTACGGGGAGTCTGCATTTTTCATTCATCATTGCTACAACCATCCTCTGTAAAAATTGCATTTTCCAGCTCCAAAACTGATTCTTATTTCCCTTTTCCTGATTTGAAAATAACAGACAAGATAATTATGCAAGAAAACTCCTATACCAGTAGACTGGTGTTGCTCTATTGTTATAATTTCTCTCTCTCCAATATTCTATTGTTATAAGAAAATAGCCTAAGGACAGATCCAGTAACAACCCAAATATCCCTAATCTAATGAAATTACTTATTGAAAAAAAAATTATTTGTGAAGCTTAACAATTCAGTGCTTAGGTTGATAGCCTGAGACTGATGACCATGTTTATTTCTCTGTTCTGAAGAAACACTCTGACACCAACAATGATACAACTTTTGCAGAAGGTATAAACAACACCTCTATCATGCCATTTGATTATTAAAAATCCCAAGAGGTTTTTACTACTGTTTTTCAGACATTTTTTCATAGAAGTGAAATAACTGATTAAAAATGTTTTCCTTTTTTTTTTTTTCTTTGAACACAGTAGAACTCCAAAAAGTTCCAGATTACAAACCTGACTGTTTCTGGCACATATATCAACAAAAGCATAGTAGAGAATGACTGTACTTTACAAGGCAAGAGTTCACAAAACCTTCCTCCCCACCTCCTTATTTTACAGTGGCTGACAGTTCATTCCACAGTGAGTATAAACCAATCTTTCCTCCTTATGCAGGCTTTTAATTTTCTGTAACTATTAGAAGCTGCTAAGTATTTAATAGCATTTCTTTAACTGCCATTTTAAAAAAGGAGTATAATATTACAATATAGTATTACATTTATTTTATTATTTTTTCCCCAATGGAATTAAAAGGCAAGGCATTTTGACTTAAAGTAAGTTTACTTACCTTCTGTTTGCACACCTGACTTATCCACCACCACCTGACACTCAGTTTCATGGGAAGAAACCTCTTTCTTGTCAGCATTAGGAATAGGAGATGGTGGGAGCTCCTCCTATGTAAAAATAGGACAAACCTCTCTAAATCATGAGATCACTGTTAAATTAGCTCTTGTACCTTGATACCTGTATGACACATTTAGTGTATTAACGTCCCAGTCCCATTCAGAATTGTTTACTAATATTTTAAGAGACTAAATTATAAGATTTGTTTCTTCTCTTGTTTTCTTGGGGAGCTTTTGTTGCTGTTGTTTAGGGCTCCATGCAAATGAAATCTAAACCTTACAATGATCAACAGGAGGTTAACAAGTATGAAGTGATTAGTTCAAGTACTTTCTGTCACCTTCTTTGGTTACAAGAGTCCATGAAATTATTCTGTGTTTCCTGGCTTGCTGTGGCGTATGTGATCTTGATTATCAGCCATTTATCTACTGTATCAGTGCTGTGAGGGATCAATGAACCATTAATTAACATCATCTTTGCTGGTTTCCCCACTGATCACACACCAGTGTTCCACATATTCTACTCACCCCCGCCCCTTTTTTCTTTTTCTTCCCCTTCCCTCCTCTTACCAGCTACTGTCACTGCACCTTGGGATGTTTTATGGATTCTTTCATGTTTTGGGATTTGTGGTGTATATTCTCAGACTGATGGTCATACTTTACTGATGCTGGGTTTTTTTGAAGAGGCATTTTTTAAGAGATCTTTTATTGTCTTTTTCCTACTCAGGTACTTCTTCCTGTTAAATTTTTGTATGATTTTTGATTTAACTTTAAATGTGCCTTAGGAGTATTAAGTTCATTGCTGGCTAAGCAATGCAAAATCACAGCATACAAAAATTACCTGGTCTTCAAGAAAAGGTAAATTTATTTTGTTTGATTCTGAATCTCCCCATTTCTATATAGGTCTGTGCTCATTAGCACAACACCAAACCATTAACTAAGCTTTCACCATTTAACAAGGAAGTTACTAGTGCTTTTAACAAATCTTCTACTATGTAAGTACCATGCTCAATATAAATTACTGGACATTTTACAAGACTGTTCATGATTATTATATACAAGATAATTATGCATGATGATTACATAAAATACCAGTGTGCTCCTAATAACCAGAGAGAGACTGTGACAACCAACAAACCTACGTAACTCATGTAAGAGTAAATGAAACACAAAAATTAGCATGTGAAATAAATATTGAATACATGTCTAAAGAATAAGAAGAGAATACAAAGCATCTGAAATATTAACATGCATTAATACATTAAAACATGGTAAAAGAACTAATGCATTTAAAAATCTTACCTTTTTAGTTTTGCAGGGAACAGCATAAACAGCATTGCTGCTAAAGCTTCCTTGCCTTTTGTCATTACTCTGACAGCTGGACTCTGCCTCTTTATCAGCATCTGAAAGATATGTATCCATGTCCTCATCTTCACCATAATTGCCTGATATTTCCAGGGACTGTAGAGGAGATCCGTCACAACCATCAAGTTTCCAGTTAGATCTGCAAAAAGCAATTTAATGCCTGTTTCAGCACTGCCAATTCTTCAAAAAAATCCCACACTAGCAAAGTAGAACCATCAGTCTTAAAATATACACAAGTCCAAAGAGACAGATATCTAAGCTTCTGTTAGCTGCAAACAAGGAATGTAGTTGTCTTGCTTTTGAGATAAATTTCTGGAGAAAACACCCTGGAATGAGCATTTCCTCTAAAGAGAAAGGGCTTCAATTACCCCCTTTTCTTCCGCCAATGAGAGAAACGGATACCAGGGGGTGAAAGTGAAAAACCCCTGTTTATTAACAAAAAAATAAGGGTGTCTGCAAGGCACAGAACCAGAGGGGGAAAAAAAAAAAAGAACAAATGCTAAATATTGAAATTGTGGAGCCTTACCCCCAAACCCCACACCAGCCTGGGCTGCCCTCCCCTCGTGCAGTTCTGGCTGCAGCCAGCAGGGGCGCTGCTGGCTCCCGGCCGGCAGCGCGGGTGCCACGACTCCTCCGCGGCTGCAGGGGGCGCTGTGGCGCCAGTCCAGCCGTCTCTCCCAGACAGCGGCGGGCACAGCCGGCACAGGGGATGGAGAAGGCGCCTCCATTACAAACTCACAGCGGCAGCCGGTCCCGTGCCCCTCTGGATAGCGAAAGGGGCTCTAGCAGGAAACCTCAGAGCAGCAAGCCAGAGCAGCACGGTGGGCTCCCCCGGGACAGCAAGCAAGAGGCAGCAGAAACTCTGCAGTTTTTTACCTCCTGGAAGGGAGGGGCGAAACAGCTCCGGAGTAGGAAAAAACCCCGGAGCAGCAGCCGGGGCACCGCGGAGGGGCCGGGCAGCAGCAGCAGAGACTCGCCGGGACTGCCCAGCGGCGCTGGCTGGTCCCTGGGCCTGGGCTCTGCGGAGGCTGGGGGCAGTCCCAGCGGGAAGCAGGGTGTTCCCAGTCCTGGTGGGCACGCACTGGCTCTGGGCTTCCCGAGAGCGGAGCAGCAAAAGAGGCCAAGCTGGCAAGCTCAGTCACGGTGCCAAAGCAAAAATAACAGTAATAAAAAACACCCAAAAAAAACCAACCAAACAAAAAAAACCCCCAAAGAAACAAAACAATACAAAACAAAAAACCAAACCAAAACAAAAAAACACCAACAAAACACAACCAAAAAAATCCAACCAACCAAAACAAACAAACAAAAACTACAAAAACCACAAAAAGAAGTAGGCAAAACCCACAGAAACAGCAGGATCCCTGGTCAGTGTGTTCAGTGGAACAAGCCCATGCCCCTCACCCTGCCCCAAACTCCCTCCAGACACCCCGGCTCAGCTCCATTCTTCTTGACACCCCCAGAGCCAGGGAGCGTGGGGGCTGAAGCAGGGACAGCAGCCACCCTGGGCACAAACTAGACCAAACAGAACAAAAACCCCCAAATGGTATGGGATAATAAACCATCTCCAAGGCAGTGTCGATGTGTATACTCTAAAATAGACAATTAACACTGGTACTACCTTTTCCTCTCTATCTTAAAATGACAGGTTAGAGATAGTAGATTCCTAATTCTACCAAAAAGACAGTTTGAAATGGACATTTTAGCACAAAGGAAATACCTTACATGTAATTCAAGTGATTCCTCAGCTCATCACATTCTGTAAAATTGATCATCATTTGACAGAAATAGTGTGTGATTTTAGTTATGACTGTTGTACAATCAAAATCTGCCTCCCTGAAGATTGTATGTGTGACACCACTTTACAAGAAATGGAATAAGGATTGTTAGACACTTCAGACTGAATTTATTATAGGGTAGGAAAAAAGAAAGTAGCTGTAACAGCAGGAGTCTTTGGTAAAACTGATCATTGAGAGATTCCAAGGTATCATCACCACAGTTTAAGATACCAAACCAGAAGGCATACAGTACCCTATTCTGAGCTCTGTGACTGTTGCATATGGCTCAAAACATTCTTGTTCCAAGTAGGTGGAGTCGCTTTCAGAAAGGGATCTCTGCCGAGGCTGAGGAATAGCAACAGTGCGCCCTGTTAGTGTTGTTGCAAGGATTGCTGCTGCTAGAGCAGACCTGGAAGGAAACAGAATAAAGCAATGAAGCAATAATGCTTTCTCTGTGCTCCACATTTTATAACTTTCCCTTTGCAAAATGTCTTCGCTATTTAATCAAATCAAAATGTTCCCAGTTAACAAGCACAAATACCCCTGAATGCTGTGGGACTGGTTACAAACTATAACCTCCCAAAGAAAAGCACAAAACAGCTTGCTACTGTAATGCAGCTATCCAAGAGTAAGGCACAATATCTACCGTTTCTCCCAAACCACATGCATGAAAATCATGGAATATACCAAGTTACTTTCCCATAATTCACATCAATAATTTACAGTATTTAGCATTCACTTTAGCCATAACAATACTACCTGGTGTTGTGTTGAAAAGGTCTTCCATGTCCTGCTATTTTGTCTCCATTATTCCCTACTCTAAACCTTTTACTGATGATTCTGAAGTTGTTAATAAATGTTGGCACACTGCAAACCAGTACAAGCAAACAGAAGTGCCTATTTGTGTGATGCTGTGGAGTACAGAGAAGGGTATGATGAAAAGGAAAAATAAGTAGTAAGATTAAAGCAGTGAAATGCTGAGAACTGTAAAATGAATGACAAGAACTTGAGGCCAAAAAGGAAGAAGAAATTAACTAGAAATGTTACAGACACTAAAAAGGCCACAGAAAACAACCAGAATGCAGAAAAAAACAGAATAAAAACTGTAAGAAACTACAACTTAAAAGAAAAAGAATTTGCATTTTTCCAATCCAGTGTGCTGTTCCATGCTAGTTTTTTAAGTCCCTGGTATGGTAGCAAGGTTTAATTTTTGTTTTTCTAATGAGCTAACATTTCCTGACTCACAGCACTTGTGCTGCTGCTGTACTACACTCTACTGCAGCAGCCAAATTAAAAATTCCACTAACTTTAAACAGTCCATTTGTCTCTAATTGACTCAGACACGTCACATAACAGTTACTGTCTTGAATATTTACCATGCTTAGGAGTGGGGAAAAAAGTTCAGAGTGAGAAACTTCCCCCCTTAAATATATATTCTTTTTATGAAAAGATTTGTAAATATTGTAAAGACATGCAATTCTTCTAATCAGATTTTTCTAGTATGCTACAATACCTGATGAAACAACAAAAATATATATAAAAAAAAGAAAAAATAATTTTAAAAAACCCCGAAAACCAACACATACCTGGGCCTTTCTGGAGAAGGGTTTGGACTACGAGGGGGAGGGGTGCGGGGAACTGCAGGTTTAGGAGCTATGGTAGCAGCAGGGACCAGGCCATGAGCTATATGTTTCTAAATGATTTAAAATAAAATTAGTTGACAATGACTTTAAGGATTACAATGAGAAAAAACACAGAACTGAATGTGCACAGAAAGTAACAATGCAAAATAATATAAAAAGGAAGAACAATTACATGCAATTAATGTAAACGGAAGACCTGAAATGGCATTTCATTCCCCTTAAAGTCAGAACACCATGTAAAGCTGGCAAGTTCATTTAACATTTATGAACACCTGCTCTTGAAGGTTAGAAATGTAATTTACATGAGACCCATGAATGTACATTTTCTATCTACTATATCACAATTTGCAAAACCAGAATTTTAACTTACTCATCTTTTCCCTATATATATATATACAAGAAAAACTGGACCAGAAAATAGCTTTTTTCAAAATACCTGAATGCTGCTTCAGACTAACAATATTAGTCCCTTTCTTCTACAGTTTGTCATTCCTCAGTCATAGCAGTATGAGATGGAAAAAACAAAACCCTACCACTAAGTCTTGCAGTCAAAGGTTCAACCATAATTATAAAGAAACAAAAAAAAAAACAATAATTTTTTTTTCATCAGCAAGCACAGTAATTTTTTTTAAAGATGGTATAACATTAAATACCATGTCAGAAAACTGGGACCAGAGTTCCTACAAAAGTACTGTGAAGGAAACTGTATACTGGTTGGAAGGGAGCTCTGGAGATTGTCCAGCTCAAGTTCCTGCTCAAAGCTGGGTCAACCACGAGAGGGTTGCTTGGTGTCCTGTCCAGTCATGTCTTGTGTATCTCCAACCTGGACCAGTGCTGAACCACCTCACAGTATTTTATTATTATGTTTAACTTGAATTGTCTGTGCTTGAGCTTGTGCTCATTACCTCTTATCCTCTCTCTCTAGGCAGCAGAAAATACTATGCCATAATAAATCCACCACCTTTGGGCAGATATTACTTTTCTATGGAGTGAAACAGGCTAAGCTCCTGCAATTTCTGCTACAGATCTTTTTTCCCCAAATTATTCTTGAATTCACTTCTCCAACAGGAGAATTAAGATACAAGCTGGGAAATATTTCTGGTTTTACATGAAGTCACATCAAAGGATTCAATGGTGCATTTTTACTCAGTCATGCAAACACCCTGCTCCCTAATTCTGCATGTGTGTCTGGCATGCACCATTTCGTTTGCTACGGCTGCTGACTGTAGACACGACTATGACTGACCCTGCTAAGACTGCCAGGGAACACCGCTGAAGTGAAGTCATCCCACGGTAAAACTATGACAACAACGCAAGATCAATACTCTCACTGCAGTAATAAACAAAAATTCAGCTGGTGCAAGTGCGTTGGAAGAGCACACCGCACAGCTGCTGACAGCCGTACAGCCCTTGTGTGCTTTGGGCCGCCCATCAGAACCTGGACCCGTTCACTTCTCAGCACCGAACGTGCTGCGAGGATCGCCCCGGCAGCGAGCGGCTGCACTGCCAGCCCGGGCCGGAGGGGAGGGGAGGAGAGGGGAGGGAAGGGAAGCTCGGCGTTCCTGAAAAGCCGAGCAGGCCCGGGACTGAAGGAAAGGAACGCACCAGCCCGCAGACACCATTTTTTGTCTTGGCTTGGGCTTGATTTTTCTCCCCGATTCTCACTTTAAAGTGCTCAGCGATCACCGGCATCAGCCGCAGAAACCATCCCTCGTCCCAGCCGCGCACTGAACCCCGCGTCCCGCTGTCCCCGCTCACGGTAACGGAGCTCCGCGCTAGGCACAGCGATACTCACGAAGGGGCCCCTCCGGCCTCTCCTGAACAGGAACGCCATCAGGACGGGACGGCTCCAGCCACCGCCTCACGGCCGCTTCCCCGCCGCGTCGGACGCTTCGCCTTCGCGACCCGCCTGGAAACAAAGCCACGGCGGATTTGCTGCGGGCCCGCGCTCCTCCAGTCAGCACGGGCCTTACTCAGCCTCGCTCGGCCGTAGCAACGGCTCCGGGTGCGGCCCGCCCTCCGCTCCTCCGCCCTCCGCTCCTCCTCCGCCCGCGGCCTGCGGAGCTCCCGCTGCAGCTTCCCGGCCCCGCTGCCCGGCGAGCCCTTGGCTGCCGCGAGCGGCTCCTCCGGGCCGGGCCGCGCCCCTGCGGCCTCTCCCCGCTCCCGAGGGGGCTCCGCCGTGGGATGTGTTTCGGTGTGCGTGTTTGCGGTGGTACCGGCTTGTCCGTGGTGCCTGTCTTTTAGATCATGCCTTAGCTCCAAGGCTCGTTAAAGTCAGAGCACCGCGTAAAGCTGGCAAACCTGAACATAATCTCTCCCACCGTGTAATAATTGGTCTGGAGACTTCCACCAGCTGAGGGATGGAGGGGCAGATGGAGTTGGCTTTGTAATTCAGGAAGATTTCCTCCCAGCAAGCTGGATGAAGGTATGGAAAAGGCGATGTGGGTTTTTTCATCATCTGTGTGTTTTAATTCAGGCGTTTTTTAGGCTGATTGGTAGAGCTGAAAGTGGAATTTGCAAGCTAACACAACAGCCTGTGTTAAAGTGAACAATTGCTGGCCGATTTTGATATGTTCACCTTAGCTGTAAGGAAGCTTGAGGAAGGAGATCGTGTCTCTTCCAGAACATTGCAGCCTAAGTTTAGGATTAAAATTTGATTAAATTAATTATTATTAAAATTTTAAAGCTTGGAACAGGTTTGTAAAATGTGTCGCTACTTTTCCACTTTCCTTTCTAGGGTGTAACTGCTAGTGAAGGAGGATTTTAAAGGAGGTCTGATGACAACAAAAGCGAAGTCTCCTGTGACAGCAGGCTCTATAGTCGTCCCTTTCGGGCATGTGATTGGAAATGAGAAGTGGAGAGGGTCAGAGCTAGCCCAAGGGCTACAAGGTAAGCACAGACTGGAAGAGGAAAAGCAAGTCAGGCAAAGCATTCCCCTCTCTTGCCCAGTAACGCTGAGAACAGCTGGAATGTGCTTTACTCTGTGCCTGACTGGTCCCATATTTATGGTATGGACTATGTTAGCAGGCTGAAAGATGCCAGTTGTTTGTGCAGTATCTCTGTGGTCAGCTCAGTTTTCACAGCTGCAGAGCACTGCAGGGAAGCAGCAGAATCTGCTCTTGGGGGGCTTTGCAGATTTGCATCTCCACTGAACTCCCTTGAATTCACATCTATACTCTGCTACTATGTTGCTGGCACAACAAACTAAATTATGATGCTCCCTCCAGAAAAACATGTGATATTTTTGTTCAAGTCCAGAGTTTACTGAGCAGCTCTAGTACTTTTAAATCTTGTAGATTGGAGCTGCTATTAATTTGCATTATTAAAGACAGTAGTTTGGACTGCTTGTAATAGATTTACTTAAAAGGAAAAAAGGCTTTCTATAAAGTTCATTATCAAATCACTAGAATTATTGACACTTTAGGAAGGCTGTGCTGTGAAATAATTGTTAGTATATTTTTAACCACTGTATTTTTTCTTCTAACAATCTCATCCTAAGGGAAGGTTAGACTCATCTTTGAAGATGGCTTGGGACTGGTGGACTTTCATCTTTCAAACAGAACTTGCATTTTACTTATTTCTGAAGCAGATCTGGTTGCAGGGGATGAATTCAAACGAAGATTGGTTAGGTTTAGAAATGTAAGTGCTATATAAAGTGAAAAGTTTTCATGAGATACTTGTTTATTCCATGCTTCTGAAAACATTCTTCTTGTGTTATTTTAAAAAATTCCATTGAAGATGACCTTTTGGGATAATTTTCACCTGGAAACAGAAAAATTCTGCAGCTGTATTAAACCTCTGTCCTGTTGCTGCAACTTATGTTCTTCCTCTGATATGCTATTAGGCAGCTCATACTTGAAGGAATTTGTCTCTGTTACGTTGCATTAACTTGTCATTAATAAGGTTTTTTCTAATATCTTTTTCCTTTCAATACAGGCCAGCAGTCTTAGGGGAATTGTAATCGTAGAGAAAACCCAAATCAGTGATCAGTACTACTTGGGAGTACAAAAACTTGTTGTACTTGAACTTGGGATGGTGTTGCTTCCTGTGGCAAATCAAGGAGAAGCTTCTCAGCTTATTATTCAACTAGTAAGTTTCTGTGTTATATTAAAATATGAGATATAAAGCAAAGCAGGTAGATCTCCCCAATGATCATTTCAGAGAGAATACATAGGGTCTTAAAGGAGCACAACATCATTTGAATGTAAGGAATAAATCTTCTGCAACAGTGATACAGTAGTGTAGTTCAGTGGAAAGAAGGCTCATTTGGGAACAAAGAAAAAAGGCTGAAGGCTGAAAAAGGCTGATATGAAAATGTAATCTTGTATGAGGTGCCGCTAGTTAGCGTTAGGCAAATGTCACTGTCAAAATCAGCTTGAGATTTTGCTTTCTCTAAGACTAGGGAAACTTTTAAAATTGGTTCTTGTTACCCTTTCTCTGACTGCATCACAAAGATGACAGAAATACTTGTTTTCATTTGTTGTTGCTATTGAGAAATTGTTTCTTAGTAAGGCTTTGTCGAACTGCACCCCGTGAGGGAGCACACCCAAGCAGGGAGCTTGTACCTTCAGCTTCCTGGCGCAGGGACGCAGCCGAGCGTTTGCGGCAGAGGCGCACGGTGTCGCTGACGGCTCTCTTTGGCTGCAGGTGCGGGAGCAGAGCAGGGATCGCGGTGCCAACCCCTTCCTTGGCAGGCAGCGTGCCCGGCTGGCCGAGCCCGCCGTGCTGCAGGCCGTGCAGCACATCCCCGGCGTCGGCAAAGCAAAAGCTCTGCTCTTACTGCAGCGCTTCGGGAGCATCCAGCGCCTTTGTAACGCAGACATCCCGGAGCTCGAGCGAGCAGTGGGACAAACAGTAGCACAACAAATTTATACTTTTTTACATTCCTGATGTGCACGTGCAGTGGTATTTTGCAAGACGAACATTTGGGATTTTTCTTCTGAATTATAAAAGTTTGGTTTTAATAACCACAATTTTTTTCTGATTTCTGTAATCATGGCTAGCAGCAACTGGACTCTGATGCTTCTTTTTTACATCTGCTCTGTTCATATAGATTAAGCTGTGCAAATTGCCTTGGAAAGAAGTCTGTATTTTGCATCCATGTAGAACAAATAAAAACCAAGAAAGCTGTGTTTTTCAGCATCTGTGTTAAAAAATGGAAGAGCAATCTGCTTGCTTACTTTGGACTTCAAGAAAAAAAACCACCATATGAATATATGCATAATAACTTCTCAGTAACTGGAAATATGTTACATGTGTTCAAAAAGTTTGCATATATTGCTTTATAGCAACATCTTTTGGTTTATAACTTTTTGGAGTTCCTTTGGAAAGTCCTACTGGAATACAGGTTTGACTTCACACTAACTTATTTCTCTGGTCACCCCTCCATTTCGTGGGGCATTAACAAATTCATTCCCATGTGTCTGATATCCAAAATATTGCTTAATTCATGTTGTCCTTCTGAATATAGGTTGGCATACTAAAAAGGTGCAAAATATTTTGATAAATTATAACTTCTAATATGTTAATTATACTATCAATCATACTATTATATACACTACAAAGAAATAATATGGGAAGCTTTGAACAAAATTCCTAATTCATACTATTCTTCCAGTATTAATATTTTGAAAATCTATTTTTAAAGAAGATTGATTTTCCTGACATCTTGCATTTTAAGTTATATTTTTATCCTATTTTCTAAGGGTAAAATTGCCTTTTTCCTTGAGGAGATGTGTGAAAAGCATCTCTCATACCACTTGGGAGTTTGGGCCACATCAGGAAGGCAGCAGAGTAGGATTTTCCACTCCCTGTTGTGGGAGCCTTGGCACCTCTGAAAGCCCTCTCTTACACTGGTTAGCATGGACAGCAGGTGGACCTGCTATTTACACTGATTCTGTACTTGGGATGAAAATTTGTCTACAACTTAGACATAATTATTTCATTTAGTGAATAATAAACATCAGAATTTCCAAAAGTACAGGAAAAGATACTAGTTTTTTTTAGGCAACTAGGGAGTACTTTAAGCTTCTTTATACATGGATTTGCTCAGTTTATTCTTCTAAGGTTTTGTCACTTTGCTATGAAGACTGGATTTCACATCTAAAGGCACGTGGCTGTTGTGTTGCAAGACAAACACCTTTTCTCTATGGCAAATGGCCATCTGCCCAGTGCATTAAATAAGAGTTCAGCTGAAGTAGTAATAATTAGTATTAGTGGAGTTACAGGCTGTACTACTAATCCACTGCTAACCTTCCTTTTTAGGGCTTTACAGCAGCCTTATACATCCTTGTGGGTAGACACTTGGTACAAGAATTCCTGTGGCCCGAGCAAGAACATAAGGCACTCACTCCTTTCACTGCTAGTTAAGTTAGCTGTTGGCTACCACTCAGTGTAGAATGACTCTTCAGTTAGCTGACAGAAAACCAAGAGTGTTTGTCTGGCACCTGAGAGCTCCACATTTTGACTTGAATTGAGGGGTGTGTTTTAAATTGAAAATGCCAAGCTTTCCTCAAGGACAAGTGAGTGTGATGACGGGAAGGGAAAGACAATTATTCAGGAGCTAGGAGGGAAAGTATTTCCAGGAAGAGTATCAGAGTGGTTTCAGAGAAATGAAGAACAGCACGGGTGGTTGCTGGGACTTTGCTAAAGTTTTAGGTACTTGGATAGCAATTTCAGCACACAGGCAAAGTAAATCTCATCTGTATGGAATACTGGGAGGCAGGGCTGTGCAGATCAGGGTCTGGCTGCTGCTCTTTGTGTGTGTAAAAGAAGCACTACTCCCAGTACACCTAAAGAGTAATTGCTAAGAACAGGCAAGTAATAAGAAATTTACAACTTATTTTTTTATGTAACCTTTACAGGGAAACTAGAAATATGTTTACACTCTTTGTAATGAAGTTGGTTTTAAACTCTTAGTTGATATTGCACAATACAGGATCTTTTCTTAAAAGTTTCTTAATCTCTGTAAGCAACATTAGAGAAACACACAAGAGGTATGGCACCAGTAAATAGCAAAAACCTGTAAATTATGCTTTATCATGCAAGCTGAAGCAGAATTAAAAAGCTACTAGTAAATGGCAGCATCTGATTTTTATTCTTAAATAAGGGTCATCAAGATATTTACACTTACTACATAAGAAATTAAAAATAAATGCCAACTTTAAAGTTTACACCAAGATGCAGATTTTTGTGTAAATTTTAAGTATCTATCTACTCTGTAGATGGCAAAGTTAACTAACACTACAGTGTTAGCAATTTTCAATTAATTTAAGGAAATAATAGAAGAATCTCAAAGAAATGCTCACCAGTTATTTCTTGTCCCCCTCCTTACTATAGATACAGCTTGCTCATTATTTTTTCCAAGGGCAGATTCTTTTGCTTAATGTGATAGTAAATAAATACCCTGCCACTTAGCACAAGTACTTATTTTATCATATTTTAAAGCATCACTGCAATTTATGTGCCCCTGAATCAATATATTATAATATGTCCATTTTGAGATTTGTTTCACAGCTATCAATTTTATCAACACAAGCGAGATACGAGTCTTAGGGCAAATAGGTCAAATAAAGTTTGGAATAAAGCCTGTTTTTAACAACTGAATCAACAGGCATTTAAAATGTCACCTAAATCAGAAAAAGAAGAGAGTAAAAGCCTTTTGGAGTTCAAAAGACCTTTTAAATTTTAAGCCTTGTAATTCTATTCCAGAACTAAATTACCTGTTCAGTAGGCCACACCTAGTACTGAGGAAGCACCTCTGCATAAAAACACAACTCTGTGACACTGTTGCTTGGCACAAGACTTGTTTCTCTGAATATTATTATTCCCTCTCACCTGTGGTTTATTAAGATAATTCTCCAACGTAGTGTTAAGTGATTTATTATTGACTCTGAACTTTTAAGAGCAAAATCATTCTTCAATTTGTCCCCTATTATTTTGCATTCAGCATCAAGTTTGTAATAAATAACTCCCATCTAGCATAGTTATGACTATTTTTATGAAAAATCAGTCGTAACTGTATTTTGAAACCCCAAAGGAGTCCAGTCCTCATGTAAGCAATTCTATAATCTACATCTTGTTATTGCATACCTTCCAAACAACTTCATTCTGACCTTCAAATACTTCAGTTTCGCAGTTTCTGCCAGCTTCTGACCATAAGTGGCTCAATGCACAGCAAATGAAGTCACCAGTATTTGTCTGAGTTTATACATACGTATGTGAAGAGAAAATTGATCAATATTTTTATCTACATTTTAAACAAAAGTCACATTAACAGATACTTCTGAAAGATTCAGTACAATGAACTTTCTGTATTGAAAAGTGTGAAGGGAGAAAGCTTCTTCTTATTCTGAGAACTTCCAGCCACAGCTGAAGGAAGGCAGAGTGTACTTGCAGCTTTCTGTCTGTTTTTAGTTCCCCAGCTTAGAAAAGGGAATTTTAGTGGGGCTTTCTTGGTCTGATCCATTTTATCCTCGTCCATGGCTAAACAAATTAAGGAGTATGTCTTCTGCATTCCCATAGAGTAAGTTGCGCTCTTGCTATGCTGTGGGAAAAAGAGAACCATTGTAAGAATCAGTCATCCAAAATGGGTCAAAATTTTGACAATAACAAAAGGTTCCTGTGCAAACAGTTGTTCAGGGTGGACTGCAGCAAGCTTTCTGTGCTAATGACATCACTGAGCACAAGGCCCTTCAGAGTGCTGTGACCCTGGCATTTTGCACATGTAGACTCAAAGGTATACCCTTCAAAGCATAAAGGAACTTGTGAATCTTTTCCTGGGTTGTTAAACATTTACTGGCTTCTAGGATAACTATTAATATACACACTAACCTCCCTACAAAGCTCAAGTGTGTAATTCCTGCACAGATGTGAAGGGGAGTACTTTTGCTGTCTTTGGACAGTATTCTATACTGTATTCAGTTCTATACAGATCACAACTACAGGAGCTCCTGTGTGACATTCTCCTGGGATACCTGAAAGGCACAGCCTTCTCTGTCTCCTCTTAGCTTTGCCCTGAAACAATTTGATTCAATTCTAGCCTTTTCTTTCCAGCTGCAACTTGGAATGGCAGATGCACAATTCCTTATGTTCAATAAGGAAAACAAATTTTAACAAAACAAGAAAACTTAACAGCAGCAGGGGCACCTTAATAACTTCTCAGGCAACATTACTTGAGTGTCTAAGCTTGCCAGAGAATGTTAAAAACATGAAGCAGTGGATTTAGCTGAACTTCAGGTTCTTTCAAACAACTAGTAAGTTATTTAGAGCTTAATATTTTTTAATCTTGTGATGACTTTCCCTTAGTCTAAAGCTTCTATAGTAGCTTTGTAACTGACTAGACAGTTAAAAGTTCACCAAAATAGAAAAATACATAAAATAATCCATGATCTAATACAAAAGTCACAGATCATTTAGAACAACAGTGCATAGAAAATAAACATGTGGTCTTAGATGTTCTATTTCATTCCATTATTGTTTCATTGCGGTTTTTCCACTGCTGAAGAGGGTCATGCCTTCATCCTCTGGGACAAGTTAGGGGGATAAACTAGGTCTTGAAATTTTTCATGCAATTAATCTAAGTAGCTGCACTACCAAAAAGCCCACCACCCACCCAACCATTCTTATGCAGACAGACTGCTTTAGTTTGCTAGGTCACAATGGTTTAAACAGATGGTTTAAAACTGAACATATCTGAAGGCTTTATATATTCACAGGCTGAGTGGGATATCTGACTACAGGAAAGTAAACATTAATCAGGAACTGAAGGCAGGCAAGGGACAAAACTCTAGCATATCAAATCTGGCAATTTGCCTCATTACATACCAAAGATGCTGTTGTATCCTGGCAACTGATAACTTCAATCTCCATGGGCTGCTTTCCCACATTTTTCAATTTTTCCAGCACTTCGCTGACACCAAGCCACTTGCAATCCATGCCACCAACTGATACAATGTAGTCACCTTCTTTTAGGCCTGCTGACTGTCAAAAAATTTGGCACAGGTTATTATCCAGAATTAGAGACATGTAAAATGTTTTTGTCATCACAGAGTATCTGTCCCAAAGGCATTTCACTCTTAGATGCTACAAACCCATTCTCTAGCCACACAAGTGCAACTTTCTCAAGTACAC